TATATATATATATATATGACAATAATCCAATGTATGGTCGCAAATGGTTTCATAATCTGACATGTATAACAACAATAAATGGCCTCATTGAGAAAGTCAATTCTTGGACTTATCTTGAATATACATGGACACGTAAATATACTGATCATGGTTTCATCAAAAATAGTAATAATAATAATAACCATAATAATAATTATAATAATAATAGTGATGATAATATTACTAATAATTTGTAATGAAACACTTAAATAAAATTATATTACTAAATGAGTTTCAACACATGCGTTCATTATAGTTTAATGAACACGGCTTCTAAACAATATATATGATCCGAATGAAAGTTGTAGCCTCTGTGGCCTCATTAAGTCAGAAATAATATTATGGGATTACATGAGCAGAGATAAGGGAGGAAATTCCATAAGAACTCCAAAAGATAGTTGGGTGAGTTCTTAAGTCATTTCCCTCCTCCAAAAGAACATTACAAGCCTGTCATCAATTATAATATCCAAATACACCATATATCAAAATACAAGTCCAACAGTAAGCTACATAATGGATGCCAAAATTATCACAAGTAGCTCAAAAATGTTGCCAAGATCCCAATCAAGCTAGGGATGAGGAACCTCCTCTTGGGTAATGCCCTTTTCTGAAAACTATAAAAATCAACGGGGTGAGCAACAAATTGCTCCGAGGAATGTCTCATGAATATAAACTACGTTTTCAAAATTTTACAAACATTGCATGGACATACTCCCTAACGTCTAGTCTCAAGGGAAACCTAAATAGGATCATCCTAGTCTAGCATAAATAATATTAATCCATTCATTAAGACAAGCATGAATCATATTGTGTGATGTACATAAATCTACAAGTTGCAGTAACACATAAATGCCAACTTGGAAATAAAAGTCGAATTCAAGTAATGGGATAACTCGGAATACACCCACACCCCCGGTCACATAGCCATGCTATGCGCCTAAATAAAAATAGTCGTTTTCGGATTACTAGTCCGCCAGAAACTAACCGGTTGGCCAATACATAGTGGGAAATCTCATGTTTCACCCGCGAGCGCCAAGCCCTCCCATTCTCAAAGTAACAACCCCCAAATATCTCCCAAAATCAATAAACAAGTCCACAAAATAATCTATATACCATGATATGCCCAAATTGCACTTCACATGCGCACATAAATTATACTAATCACACAATCCATGTTCTATGGTCCAAATCACTATAATGACATACTCTTTGACGCAATGTCAACAAATTGGGTATTTTAAAGTCATGTGATTTCATGTTGTTATTATATCAAATTTTAAGTATGTAAAAGTTTAATGTCATTATAAAAATGTACATATTCAAAGTTAACCCTTACAAAATAACAAATACATAAAAATCCATGAACAACCACAACATATAAGACACTTTAATTACAAGTAATTGTACACACTCAAATCTAACACTTTAATAAACATCAATAATATCAAAAATGGAACAAATAATATGTTACACATGAAAATTAACATAAAAATTCAATAAAACATTATGGACATGCAATCAAATCATTATATAAGCTCTCTAATCCAACCCATACACACAAGTGTATGCATAACTCACACAATGGTCATAAAATTTCAAGAACTTATAGGTTATAAGCATAATACACCCCTACCTCAAGCTAGGAGCAAACCCTAACTACTCCAAAAGAAAAATGTGCTCCAAATCCGAAATTGATTGAGGGGTTTATTTCCTCTGGTAGTCCCCGTCAATTTCCTTTCTATGGCAAGCCCAAAATCTCAAAGGTTGGAGGTGAAATGGTAAAGAAATGGTTGACGTAAAATGAAAAAGAAAAGAATGGGAGAGAGAAGAGAGAGTGTCGGTGAAGTGGGAGAAATGAGAGAATTTTTGGCTTTTCTTCCACTTTCTCTCTCTATACAAACACACATATACATATCACACACATTCTCATCCACACATATCTTATCAACTAGTCAACCTAGGCCCTACAACATAACAAAATGCAATTAAAAATAAATATAATGGGAAAAAAATAAAAACTTGGTCATCACATGAAGTGGGGATAGATTCTCGTGTCAACGAAGTGATCGCTTTGCTAAATAATGGGTCAAAGGATGTGTGCACTGTGGGAATTTGTGGAATTGGGGGAATAGGAAAAACAACTATAGCCAAAGTTGTCTTCAATCAAATATTTCATCAATTTGAAAGTTGTTGTTTCCTTAGTGATGTGAAAGGAGTTTTAGAACAACAAAATGGTCTAACTGATCTGCAACAATAACTCTTGAATGGTGAAATAGGCTATGGCAAACGAAGTAGTTTGTGGTTTTATGAAGATATCTATAAAGTGTTCAAAGAGAATTCAGTACGTTCTAACTCCATGTAAGTTTATTTGCAATTTTGATATTCATGTTGTGCAAAAATATATATATATATATAGATTTCTTTATCTTTTTTCCATCTAAACAGTTGAAAACTTAGATAATTTTAAGGTTTTAACATTGCATGGTAACTTACATAAAGTTTTTGGTAATTAGGTGACAGAAACAACTAAAGGGATTATGTTAAACGTGCCTGATGAACATATACCAAAGGAGTTGCATGTAGATATCAATGTCTTTGAGAAGATGAAGAAACTTAAACTGCTCAAACTCAGTGGCATATGACCTTGTGGACAACTTACATATCTTTCAAATGAATTATGTTATCTCGATTGGGATGATTACAAGGCAAAGTTTTTGCCATCCAATTTCCATCACAAAAATCTTGTTCAACTTCGCCTTTGTCACAATCGAATCAAAGAAATATCTTTAAGTATCAAGGTATGATCAGAGTTTATTTATACAATTATTTACATATGAATAGTATTGTCGGATTTTATTGAAACTGATTGATTTCTTTCATTGCTTGTTTCCTTCCTAGTTTCTAGAGAAGTTAAAATACCTACTTCGTTTGCCAAGATCATCAGTTAAAATTCATGATCTCGGTCACTCCTTAGATTTGTATAAAACTCCTAACTTGTCTAGTCTCCCATATCTTGAGGAATTAAATCTTGAAGGATGTAAAAATCTAATTGGGGTCCACAAGTCAATTGAAGTTCACGAGAGGCTTGTTAGATTGGATCTGCAGAATTGTAAAAATCTGAGGAGTCTCACAAAAAGCATCAAGTTGGAAAAGCTAGAATATTTGAATCTATCAAGATGCTTAAAACTTGAGAAGTTTCCGGAGATTCAGGGGCATATGAATAGTTTGCGGCAACTTCATTTGGAGAAAACTGTAATGAAAGATTTGCCTTCATCAATTGAGCTTCTTGAAGGGCTTCAGTATTTAAGGGTAGGTAATTGCCAAAAGCTTAAAAGGGTTCCAAGCAACATTTTTTCTAGAATGAAGGATTTAAGAATCCTTTGCATGGAAGGAACCGCTATAGAACAGTCACCATTGTCCATTGTACACTTGTGTAACCTTAGAAGCCTTTAGCTAAGTGATTTACAAAAAGTGTCTCCCAAAATGCCAAATTCATTGGTGCCATTTTCATTGGTGCGAAAGAGAACTCCTCCTGCTTCAACTAATTATTTGAAACTGGAACTGCTCTCCGCTTTGAGCACTTTATCTTATTTAAATTTAAGTGGAAGCAATTTCTCTAGCATACCAACAAGCCTCATTCAACTCAAATGTCTGGAAAGCCTTCATTTGGAAGATTGCACAAGCCTCCAAACGTTGACTTCACTTCCGTCATCTCTAAATTATGTGAATGCACATGGCTGCAAATCATTGGAACGGTATTGGATTCCACCAAGTGGAATTGGTCCAAACAATCGCGAATTAATATTCACTGAGTGCCACAAATTGGTTACGGATGAGATGGATAACATGCCAAATATATCATCACAAAGTCAGCTTCAGGTTTAATTACTTTACCTCTCTTTATCTCTCTATCTACATATATAAATATATGTATGTATGTATTCAAAACTTGGGGATCTTTATTGTGTTCGTGCATGGAACAGGGAATTCGATGGATCATTTTTCCTGGAAGTGAGATTCCGCAATGGTTTAGGTATAAGAGTGAAGTTGAGGGGGGTTTTCTTTCTCTTTCGTGGTAGATCATCTATCTTCTTACAATAACGTTAAAGGAATTGCAATCTGTGTTGTTTTGAAAATTCCGGAAATTGAGTTTGGATTTGATTTCAAAATCAATGGTTATGGCATGAACTGGATGGAGGACGGAGAGAGTTATTCGTATGAGAGGTGTAAAGGCAATCACGTTATTTTGATGAAGGTAACTGAATATTACGATGAGTTGTCCAAAGAAAAATAACCAATTAAAAATTTGATGAAGAAGAGACCAAAGCTCAGCCCAGGCCCTCCCAATATTTGTGATCGATGATGACAGCTGTTACGTTCAGGCTTTATCATTTGAATACATAGGTGAAGGTGAAGATGAAGATGACAGCTATTACATTCGTTTCACTAGACAAGAAGCGAAGGTGAAGAAAATGGGTATCCATCTAATTATGGAGGAGCAAGGTGAAGGTGAGTAGACCCACCCAATAATTATCTCTCTTCATAGGTGAAGGTGAACATTTTGAACTATCATATTTTTCATATATAATGTTCATATATAAAGCAATTAATTAATTTTTTATTTGATTGTTGCAATTTTGTAGGTTAACACAAAGAAATCCTAGAAGACATTTGTATGTTTGTGGAGCACCATCCTAGCATTAAGAGGCAAAGAAAGGATCATTTTGATACTTTTGATTGTCATTTTTTTTTTTCCTGAATGGTATGTTTTTGTTTTATATATAATGAAAAAGCAATACAATTACGAATAGGAGATCAAATCTCCAGCAGAAACTAAGTGAAGAAAGAAATGGAACTTAATCCAATTACAAAGCATAGCAAAGAAAGCCTAAACAAACTAAACATTAGTTTCAGCCCATAGACCTGAAGACCAATTTTTGCTCTAAAATAACAACTAGCAGTTACCCAACATCAAATATAGCGAGCATATCAGCAAGCCCAAGAGAAAAGAAGTTTAAAACTTCCCAAATAATATCATTCGCAGCAGCAGCAGATGAAACCTTGGAACCACTATGTAAAGCTGCATTCCTTTCCATCCAAATCTTCCAAACAAAAACAACAAACAGCCCTTTTAACAACTTGGATTTGAAGCCCTTAACCTGTGTAAGCTGCAACATCCACTCCACAAACACACTTAATTCTTGAAACCGTATATCAGTAGTATTTAACCAAATAACAACCTGTTGCCACACTTCCACCGCATACTCACAAGTACAGAATAGATGGTTATTAGTATCCTCTGCCTGAAAACAATTATGGCAAATTGATGGTCCATGAAACCCCCTTCTTTGTAAGTTAACAAATGATAAATTCTTATTATGCATGATAATAACAAAAGTCACAGCAACTCTTGGTCTGCAATATTTCCAGCACAAACTCTTCCACTTGACCACTTGTCCCCTAGTTCTACAAGCAGCCCAAGCATTTTTCAAGCTGAATTCACCATGGGTCCAACTAATCTCATCATTTCCAGCCTTCAAAGGTACATTAGCAACAAACTCAGCAGTAATTTCTGGAAAGAAAGGAGGGAAAACCCACCCACCATCAACTATAAGTGTATCTAGTTTAGCTTGTTTATCAAAATTTCTAAACATGGTGGCACCAAATCTCTAAGTCAGGGACAAACCTGCACACCAAGGATCAAATAGCATATTAAAAGATCCACCATTACCAATCCTGAACACCACATTTTCTTGAATGAAGTCTCTTGTCTCCAGAATTTGTTTCCAAATACTTGAATCCTGAGCTTTTGGAGTAACCATCCAGAAATTGTATTGTTGTAAGTATCTAGCATGCATCCATTGCACTCAAAGAGTCTCCTTATTCCTCAAAAAATCCCAGCAAATAGATACCTTAGCTGCAAAATCAATATCAGAAATTCTACATAAATTAAAGCCACCTTCTGCATAAGGAAGTGTGACTTGACTCCATTGGAGTTGAGACATTTTCCTTGAATCCAATTTCCCACTCCACAAAAAGTGTTTGAACTTTTTCTCCAAAGCAATAATACAGCCCCATGGAATTTTAAATCCAAAAACCCAATGATACAAGAACGAATATAAGACTGATCTGATAAGCTCTAGTCTTCCTGCAAGAGATAAATTTATTGTATTCCAATGGTCCAACCTGGCATTAACTTTATCAAATTGCCCCTTACAATCAACACTTTTCAGAGCTCTGTTTACGAGGGTAATACCAAGGTATTTTAAAGGGAAAACTTCGTTCTTCATTTGCAAAAGCTGTAAAATCCTTCTCTTTCCTCTGACAGCCTTAGAGAATATAACTGAACTCTTGTCTTTGTTAACTTCAAGCCCAGAAATCCCATGAAACCATTTAAGCACCTCATCAACTGTCTTAGCAGTGGAAAGGTCTGCCTTCACAATAATAAAAAGGTCATCTGCATAAAAAACATGAGATACCAACAAACCAGTCTTCTGAACCACATTGCACAGCTTAATCTGCCCTCCTACTATTTTTTCATGCATAAGGGTTGAGAAATGATCAGTAATTAATGTAAAAAGTAAAGGAGAAAGAGGGCAGCCCCGTCTAATCCCTCTCCCTGCTGAGAAATAACCAGTAGGCACCCCATTACAAAGAATAGAAAACTTAGAGGAAGTAACACACTGCATAATCCATTTTATCCATTGAGCACTGAAACCATAAACCTGGAGAGTCTTATGAATAAATTCCCAACTAACTGAATCATAAGCTTTCCTAAGATCAACCTTTAAAGCCATAGCAGGACCTGTAGTTTTCAACCCAAAGTTCTTGATCACATCAGTTACCAAGAGAATATTATCATGAATTCTTCTTCCCTTTATAAAAGCAAACTGCTCCAGCCCAACAATTTTAGGTAGAATAACACTTAGTCTATTTGCCAAGAAGCTCGGTCTGTCGTAATAACAATTTCAATTGTGATGGAAAATATTTTGTTGGTACGTACCAAAATCATGTATGGATTATAATTTCACATCGACTCCAGAAATTTTTTATTTATAATGATCACGTGTCATATTACAAATGACTTCCTAGCAATACTGATGGGTCACTTTTCATGGTGGTCTTGCCGGTGATCTTGATGAAATTTTTCCACCAATCGTAACACATCACACGTCCGCAGAATAAAAATAATCATTTGAATAACCAGCCAGACGCCCAATGCAGTTAAAAAGCCCACCAAGAAAAGCACCACAAACATAGTCAGCCCAAGGGGAAGAACATAGCCCAGAATAGTGCCCACGACAAGTGCATTCAACGACCCATAACGCCTATCATAAAGAAAATCGCATGAAATAAGGGACATGAATGCCCACGTCCAAAACCGCCAACAACGGACCCAAGAAAGACTCTCTATGAACATATAAATAAGAGATCAATGATAAGAGAAAATGATCAATTTCAATTATTTGATTCTTCTCCTGTCAAACTTAATTCAATTCAGTCATACTTTCTTTATTATAAAGTTCGTATTTTTCTCAAGTGTTCTGGTGTTAAAATTCTACACCTACACAAGTTAATACCAACAATTATCTCTCAACAAATATATCATTGGGAATAGCTGAACGTCGCACCTTCAGTTTCTTCCATCTGTTTCAGATTTTATCTTGCAGATAAGGTCGATTATTTGTCTATTTTTAGACTATTCTCTGGATTCATCGATTCTCTCTCACTAAACTATTCATCTGCCGCAAAATCTACCAAAGTTGTTTTAATTATAAGATTCAATATCACTTCTGTTCTTCTAGTGTAGCAATTTCAGTCAGTGTTCGTCGCTAAGGGATAGAGGTTTTAAAAGGTTTGGGTTCACATTCATTGAATGTGATGTGTAATAGACTAAACAAAAGAAAAACATAATTAGACTAACTCTTATATTAGTAGCTGAATATAGATGAACAAATAGCCCGTCTAGGCATGATCTACAAGACCCGTGACCATTTTCATCAAGTAACGCCTACTAAAGTTTCAACACGGAAAAAGGATAATATGAAAGGTAAATAACTACTCATGGTGCAATTCACTAACATAGGTATTGTCTAAAAATATTAGAGCTATTGAAATATACATGTATGTTTTTCCTTACCCTTAATGAAATAAATTAAATCAACAAAAAGAGAAGCTAGTGTACCTATATTGGTTCAGTGATCATAATCTGAAAAAATAAAAAAATAAAAACAAAAATTGAGAAGAGAGTGAGAAGAAAAAATATGAGTCAGTACTTTATTGATATTTTAGTAGAAGTGTAATCTACTCCATCACATGTAGTGCTCTTTTATTATACTATTAACCTTCATGTTTATTCTACACCTTCAATTATCCTTGGCTAAGTTGGTATTAGAAGGGTTCTCAAATCTCAAGTAACCTCAAATTTTGAGGTGAGGAGTTCAAAGCTGAGAAGAGCTGGATTTAGCATGTCCAAAATTCATTCACCTTTTGAATTTCTTGTAAATTAAAAAGTTAAAAAAATATATAGAGGGAGGGACAGCCGTTTGAAAATTTTCCATTTTTTTTAATATTCAAAAGTAAATCTAATTTTCTTTATAGTGAAAAGTTGTGATTAGTAGGGATTACTTCTTGAGTGTAAAGTTGAGTATTGATCATCTTCAATGAACTCCATGAGCAAAACTTGTATGTATTTATTGGTGTTAATAGTGTATTACGTAGATTCAAATGTGTACTGATGAATAGGTCTATCGGAGAAGGTATCGAGTGTGTCAGAGAGATGCAACCAATGAGAATGTCCCATATCAACTTGTTAGCAATTTTTACAAGTGCCACGAATTTTATTGGGTGAACTTACCAATGACGCAGTCTGTCTGGGACACGTGATATTAATTTACTTTTGAGCTGCGTCTTACGGTCTTTATTATATAGTGTTGAGGACATTGAACATGCACTCAACACTATATAATATTATATGGCGATCACACTAAATCAATCTAAGAAGCTTGGACAGAGATACATTGTAATGTCTGTGTCTAATATATATGTGTGTGTGTGTGCATAGGTGTATATATTTGTGTGTGTGTGGTATAATTTAAAACAAAAAGAAATTCAAAATGGTTGGACCCACATGCATGTTTTAAGCCTCATTTTCTTCTTTCTCTCTTCACTCCCGCTGGAATCTCTCTCTCCTGTTCTAGAGTTTTCTTTTTTCTTTCTTTTGAGTTTCAATCTTTGAGACAAGATTTCTCTCTCAATTCTTGCCGGATTTAAGTGCCGTTTGAGGCAAAACGAAGCCCACGACGAGCTCTACGCGCTAGTGTAAGCAATTTTAGATTTGGTGCTTCCTAGGGAGTTTGAAATTAGAGACCCACTTTCAAGGGTTTTGTTCAATTTAGAGGTAGGGGCTCTTAATCCATGTTTTTCTTGCTCCATTGTGAATTATATCTCTCTTGTTATGACAAGCATGTTTAATTTGGAAGTTAATTGTTTCAATGATTATATAAATGATATTTAGGAAAATTCATGATTATGAATATGAGTTTAAAAGCATGGGACATATATACATGTACGTATCATTAGGTTTGCATGAAATGGGAGACTTTGCTTGAAACAAAAAAAGGAAATTTTAGGAAAAGAGTTTTTACGAAATGGTTTTATGAAAACCCGGTCGCCACGGGGGTACCAAAGGGTCGGAGTGTTAATATAGCCTAGAGGGGACTAGGGAGTCACCCTAGTGTGGTTGAGCTATCTGGGCCCCTCGATGACGCTGCAAGGTTACCAAAGGTCTAGGGACAGTAGCCAATCCTCCTCTCGTGCCACTGCGGGGTCACCAAAGGGTGGGTTGTATTAACAGTTTGAAAGTGATGGTTTGAAATGTGAAAATGGGGAGCGACATCGGCATGCATTTGCATTCCATGGCATTGTATTGTTTGCACTTGAATTTGGTTGAAATGTTGTATTATCCTGACATTGTATGATCCCTATTCCTATTGATCTATTCTTTATATGGATTCACAAGGACATAAGATGCGTGTCTTAAGTGCTACCTACTGAGCTTTATGCTCACCCTATTATTTAATAATTTTTTTTCAGGAAACGAGAAAGAAGTGGTGGATGAATTTCCACCACAGGCCTAATTTGGATTAGAAGAATTTTTTGCTATTTTTGTATTAAGTCCCATATTTTTTGTAAAAGCTTAGTCTGTTATATTCGGTATAGAGATTTGTGGACTCTTGTTATTATAATTATACCTATGGGCTGTAACTTTTGTATGAGCTGTCTAAATGTTGTAAAATATGGACATTTGATATTAATATTGTATTTTGGGACTGTAACTATGTTATCTGGATGATATAGTATGTGGTTGTACCACTATGGAATGAACTAAGTTAAGGCATGGTTAATAGATGAAAGGGATGTTGGAATGTATTATATGTTTATTGTGCTGGGACAAGTTAAAAATGCATTTAAATAGGTTATGGTAGGCCCATATTTTTTAGGGGAGGTCATGCTGAAATTTTTTTTTAAATGGTATCAGTTTAGGGTCGTTACAAATTTGGTATCAGAGCAATGGTTCGAATACCATTAGGACGACGGGTAGAGGCTTACCTAGGGTTGTCTAGGAAGTCATTTGCATTGTTATTTCCTTATTTGCAAAAGTGTTTTGCTATGTGAAAAAGCATGCTTAACTGCTTACTTGCTTACATGTTTATGTTCTTATATGCTTATATTAATGTGTTCATTGCATAGTATTACATGCTAAGTGTTTGTACAGTATCTTTTTGCGTTGGGTTGTTCACGGTTGGACCTTAGTGTTATCGTTATTGAATTGTTTTCTTTATTTTTTTTAGCACGATGCCACGGCGTGAGGAAACCAGGGAAGTTGGCCCTAGACTGATTAGGGGTGATGTTAGCGAGAGCTTCAGCTCCAATCCGGATGAGCTAAATGATGAAGACACACTTCTTAGGGACTTGATTCCCCCGAGAGTTGTCCCCACAAGGAGGGATAATGTTAAAGCACCCGTAGAAGTGGGTGAAGGTTCTGTGACACTAGAGTTGAATCGTTTGTTGTAAAATGCCATGAGGGCAACGATTGCTGCTCAGTCGCAGTCGGCACCACAACCTACAGTTCAAGTTAAGGAGACGCCAGCTCAGAAGCGTCTCAAGATCATTAAGGGGTTTTCTCAACTGATGCCGGTTATGTTTGAGGGCGGTGCGGATTCAATGGTAGCAGATAACTACCTGGATCAAGTTGAGACTCAACTAACTTCAATGGATGTGACAAAGGATCATTTGAAGATCATCCTAGCTACTTATAAGTTTGCTAAGGATGCCAAACTATGGTGGAAGTCGGTTACGAGCCGGTTCAAGGTGGAGGAGATGAGTTGGGATAAGTTCAAGGAATTGTTTTATGAAAAGTATTTTCAGATTTCTAAAAGATGGGAGCTAAAGGACCAGTTTCATAACCTTATCTAGGGCAATACGTCGGTGGCGGAATATGAGAACAAGTTTACTTCACTTTCTCACTTTGCTCCAGAAATGGTGAGAGATGAAGTTGACAAGACTCGAAAGTTTGTTTTCGATCTTAATGATCGAATGAGACCGTTGATCACAGCACAATTCATTAAGGTTTATTCTGAAGCAGTGGAAATGGCTTTAATGCTGGAGGCTGACATTAAAGATAAGGATGTGAGAAGAGAGCAGTGGAAGCAAAAGAGAGGTGCAGGGCCATCTTTAGAAGGATCTTCTTGGAAAAGGAACAGGGGTGGTGTAATACCCCTAATTTTAAAAAGGATATTCCTGGTATTTAATGGTATTTAATTTATTATTTAAGTGCATTTTATTTGATTATGTGTCATTATTTTTTTTATTAGGTGCTTAATTGTTTTCTTTTGTGGTGATTTAATTTATTTCTTTTGTGGTGATTTAATTTATTTAAATGATATTTATTTTTAGTTATTTGATTGGAATTACTTGTTAGTGTTTTAATTATTTAATTGGCATTAATGATTTAAGTGTAATTGGTTTAGTTATTTGATTGGAATTACTTGTTAGTGTTTTAATTATTTAATTGGCATTAATGGTTTAAGTGTAATTGGTTTAATTATTGTATGTGTGTATTATTTTATGTGTGTCTTATTTGGTTTAATTGGGTTTACTAATTATTATTTTGTTCAATTAGATTATTTGTTAAGTATTTAATGGTGAATAGGGTAATTAGGTAAATACATCTAACTAGGGTTTTAATTACAGCACAAATTAGGGTTTTATATTATAGCCGTCGTAGGTTTCTACGTTAATTGGATGGGTCGGTTAGGATTGTGAGTTGGACTTAAATGAACCTAGGGTTTAGGAAAACTC